ACAATATGCTACACGACGCCATTTCATCCTACCCCGACCCTCAGTTCGCGCCAGTCACTCCGGCAAGCGGGACCTGTGCTGCGTGGCATTTTATAAAACAATGTAATTTTTGTATTATTTTTGTCCATCCGATCTTTCCCTATCACTTTAATTTACAATTTTTAGCGAGAGTATGGCTTCTCTTGTTATTATTTTGTGTGGATATTAATTTTTATGAAGTTATAGCTAAATAAAGCTGGTCCATGCAGGGGTAAGATCGCTGTAGGCCGAGATCCGATGTTTCCCCTCGTGAGTGAAGATCGGATGAATATTATCCGATCTTTGCCTGTTACAAATATGGCAGTGGTTGTTAAACTTTCATTGGTCGTGTATATTTTTTCGTTGATTACTCAAGTGACCATGGAACTCAGTCTCGTTAGCAAGTCTGTATATTAAAAAGTAATAAAATAATACGATGGTTTTATTACTTTTAAGTACACATTAAAATACATTTTTTTATAGTATAAGGGTGACAAAGGAGCACACAGTCCACCTGATGTTAAGTGATTGCTGCGGCCCATAGACATCTATATCTATCCTCTATTACAAATCAAAATGTAATTTATAATAATTATTTAAAAAATAATTTATAATAATAAATGCCGCTTTGTTAAAATATTTATATCTTCCTTAACTCCTGCATTATCCCAGGGTATTTCGCCAGTCCTTACTGTTATTTTTTTTTCCATATAAAATCAAATGCATCCGATCTTTGTCTTATATTGAGTAATTCCATCTTATGTCATAACAAAGTTTGAGAAACATAAAATTACAATTTCTTTATATCAGGGATAAGATCGGATGGCAAGAAACAAAAAAAGAGAAAATCGTTTGGAACATTTATGTTTCTAGTAATTTATAGATCATATTGAAATATGTTTTTGAGCGTTAAAGATAGGACAAATCTCTTTTATAAACTTTTTTCTCTAAGCAGTAGAAGTGGTTTTAAATTTAAGTCCGGTCTTACCCCTTAATGGCCAATTTTTCATTATGCATATAAAAAAGTATGTCTAGTTTTCGCACACCTTTAAAGCAGAAACCGTTGAGTTTACACAAGCAAAAGATTCTCAGAGCTAAACTACGTTTAACGATTAACGGTTTGCTCCATGTTCCATAAATCTGACGTATACGAATGTCGAGAAATTAAAGTTTTTGACAGACTCTTCCAACTATTCGAAAATCCGTCCGGTATTACCCCAACGTACCTTACCTAATGTAAAACATTCGAATACCAATATGTTGTTAAATGGGGAGGAGTTGAGTCTTGTGGATACCACTGTTTTTCTTGGTATTACTATTGACGCGAAACTTCAATGGGGCCCCCATATATCTAAATTAGCAAACAGACTTAGTTCTGCAGTATATGCTGTAAGAAAGAGTAGAAGTGTCATAAATGTTGAGACAGCTAGATTAGTGTATTTTAGTTACTTTCATAGCGTAATGTCTTATGGAATTTTGCTATGGGGTAATGCGACTGATATTGAAGCTATATTTGTTTTGCAAAAGAGAGCCGTTCGGGCGATTTATAACCTAAATTGTAGAGTCCCTCAGACAAAAATTTAAAGAAAGAAACATATTAACTTTAGCATCGCAATATATTTATGAAAATGTAATGTATGTACATACAAACATAAATAGCTTTAATAAGAATAAGGAAATGCATTCTTTAAACACTAGGAACAAACATAAGCTTGTAATACCAGTTACTAGACTCCACAGAATCAGTAATTCATTTATGGGTCAATGTTTACACTTTTACAACAAAATCCCAGAACATATTCAAAGTTTGTCAATAAACAAGTTTAAAAGTTTTATTAAAGAAAAACTGTACCAAAAGGGTTATTATAATATCAAGGAATACATGAATGAAAATAACCCCTGGGAATAAGGTGATCTCCACCATGCTGGTTCTATGAAAACTCATTTAAAAATTGTATAAACATATGTTTGAATAAAAAGTCCCGCTGGGTTTCTTGCTGGTTCTTTCCAGGACAGAGGTATTTTCCGAACCAGTGGTAAATAAAAAATTACTTTCAATAAGAATTATGTAATAATCAATATTGAATAAAAAATTATTCTATTCTATTCTATTCATTCACTGCAAATGTAACTTTGTAATCCTTTATATTTATATGGGATTACAAAGTTATTTATGCAGTTGGTGTATCTCGAAAACTGGATCGAAATTGCAAAATATTTTAATTTTTCCTTAATTTATATACTAAACAATCATTGTATTCCAAATTTAAAGCTTCTATGTCTGCTAAAAGTGCCTTAGTTTTGATGATCGGTCAATCAGTGAGTGACAAAATTAAGAAACTTTGACTAGTTATAACTCTTAAACTACTGGTTCAAATATAATGAAATTTGAAATATACCGAGTTTATACAATGCCTACTTATTTACTGAAAATTCAGGCTTCTAGTTTTATCCACAACGAAGTTATAGGGTTACGAAAATAGCCTGATCTACTTCGAGAAAAGTATGGTACGGCCGTGCCCCCAGATGCTGTATGCTCACATGCACCTAAAACCATGTTGTTGGTTGAAAACTGAGAAAGAAGGAAATGTACGCAGCGCACCGACTATCTTGCTGATATAGCTATATCAGTTAGTTAGTTATGACTAGTTCACTATTAGTTATGACTAGTTCACTACCAGGCCCTATATTTTCAATGAATTGTAGAAGTTACTTAGCTATAAGCATTTTCACTTTTCCTGGGCTACATACGTAGTTTCCCAGGTGAGTGTTATGTTTGCGCATTAAGGGTCCACAATTAGTTAGAATGTGTAGAGATGTTTCTTCCATTAAGGGACAGAATTGGCACATTCTATTGAGTTGCTTAGTCCCAAGATAGGTGTGTTCTTTACAGCAATGTCAGGGCTTTTGCCAAAATACGCAGTTTATTACTTAATCCCAGGGCTTCTGAAGCTTTATTTGCAATCATATGCCCGGATTAAGTTTTTAGAATGTTTGAAGCTTCATGTCAGACCAAACCAGAATTTAAGTGATATTTGTGGTAAAGATGTTCAAGGGACAGTTAGGCCAGGCTTTTTGAGATTCAAAAAATGGTTTGGATCCAAATTGTGTACTATTTGACCGCTTCCATGCAAACATTTCGGCTTGTTCGGCCCGTCGCCATAGTCTTTGATCTGTATTATTGAAGTCAGACGTAAATTTAATAATAATAATAATGAAATAACAATAATAATTTACAATAAACAAGATTGCAACGCCATCTATTGGATGTTCTGTCACTTTCCATACCTGGTCGCCTCATATGACACCTATAATCTTGCTAATAATATGATCTTGACTAGTGATTATAATTATATAGGTACTCTTTGATCTTGAATGTTTTTTTTCGAAGTAGGTACTTAATAGAGAGTGACTAAGTGACGGTTTCATTCGTTCCCTTAATCAACGCCATCTATGCGCTGTCTTAATTAACTTAACATTTAACATTCTTATCAGCTACCTACTTTCAATTAGCTCGTTCTACGAAACATAAATTAGACACTAGATGGCGTTATCAAATTTTTTGGTGTCTAACGTAATCTTCGCAACATAAATAGGTGTTCTGTATTCTGGTAACCATTTCGGTAAATTAAAAAGAACTCTGTACATGATGATACGAAAACAAACATCGTGTCCAGGTAATAACAAAGGAAAGTAGACACAATAAAACTACAACATGAAAATAAACACTAGGAGGTAAACATTAGGCAATAATATAATCTTGTTTAAAATCATTAATAGTGGGTTAATGTATAATTAAATTCGTTGTCCTATATATTTTTGAAGTCGAGTGGAACATTACATCTCGAACTGATTATGAATGAAAAATTGATGCTAATATATTCCCGAAAGAAACACGGGTGCATGTTTCTTCCCCCAAAACGGGAACGATTTAATTTTTTTTTAGTACACTTTAACGATTGTGGCGAATGTGTGTGTGATATTTGTGTTTTTTTATTTTTTATGTTCGTTAATAAGTAAAAAGTTTCGTTTTTAAAATATGTAATTAGTTCAAGATACAGATTGTATTATTAAAAAAATAATAATTTTATGTAATTATTATTTGTCATTATCTAGGGAAAACAGAGGAATAGGTACATTTATATGGCTTGCAGTAGGTATCCCCCGTAATATTTGAATTAAACGTAATGTAAACTGGGTTATGTTAATATAATCAAAATAAAAGTATAAAGTAAGACCTATCCTATAGCCGACGGCTCCGTGGCGCAGTGGCTTAGCAATGAGTTGCTGCGTTGGGGGCAGCGGGTTCGAATCCCGCACGGAACAAGTATTTGTATGGCCTACAAATGATTGTTCCGGGTCTGGTTGTTTGTCCTTGTGCAGTTTGTGTTGGTAAACTGCCTCCACGATACAGGAGAAAATCCTAGCTTGGGGGTAACGTTTTCATCCTTTCATCCTCATCATCCTATTCAATAAGTCGTGCGCAAATAAAATGCTCTTTAACATTAAATACAATTTTATTTAGTAACGGGAGCAAGAATACCGCAAAATCATCAAATATTAATTTATAACAATTTTTGTAGTCATTTAAATTTGTTATTACCACGTTCTAGGATAATACAATTATTTACAAATATATACATTTTATTTTATCCACAAATCAAAAAAATATAAAATAATACTATTACACAAGTACTAGATCATTCACTGTCATTTAGAAAATTATTTTGTTATATGTCCATGGACTGAAAATACATCGCAATTACGATTATTTGCGATGTTGTCAATACATCACGTGGTTTTCCTAATGATTGATAGCCAAATACTCCAACATTACTCAATTTTAACACGTCGTTAAGTCTTGTGGTGTAGTCACTTTGACTTAAACTGATAGAGACAGCACGAGACTTAACGGCATGTTAAAATTGAGCAGAATTTGAGTATGTGGACATGAGTGTGAGAGACACAGTGGAAGGTTGACATTAGGGTGGGTGTGATGCGGTGTTCTCCGGCGTGCCGTAGTGCGGCGGGTTGGCCCAGGGGTCGTAGCCCAGCACGGACAGCATGGGCGCCAGCTCGGCCATGTCTGCGCGCACGTCGGCCGGCAGCTGCCCCACCCACTTGTCCAGTGCGTCCAGGTTCACCGGCCGCACCACCTGGTCCGACGACCGCTCCACACTGCACGTCACATGTAATTCTTAACTAATCGTTTATTATAGAATAAGGATGACAAACGAGCATACAGTCTCACTGTCGCCTCTTATGACACCCACGCGATGACATGTGCTGGTGGATATTCTTACATCGTCACTAGACGGTATATATCCATACATTAAACGTAATATGATATAAAAAAAAATGTATATGACTTTATTTAGAAATGAAAGCTTCACAAAAGGAGACAAGATAATAGAAAACACTGTGTACTGTGTCCCCTTTTGGTTTATTTTCGTATGATTCTAAAGAAGTTAAATTCAAAACAGTTATTAATTTGTATAACAATGAAATGTTAGGGCATCTTATTGATAGAGTGAGAGTTACTTGGAGAGCGCGACGCCGTTGGGTTGGTTGATGTAGCGCTCGTGGTGCAGCACGTTGTCATGCCAACGCAGGTCGAGGAAGGCAAGTACTTGGCGCAGCGTGGCGGCCGGCGCCAGCACTAGCGACTCATAGCGCACCAGCATGCAGCGAGCACTACCCAGGGACTTGCACTGCTGGTACATCAGCTCCACTGCGTGGTTCCACTTAGTCAGGCACTGCCGGTAGCTCGAAAGGTCGAACCCCGTGATCGTCACCTAACAACACCACTTCCCTATTTCAATTTATTCATTTCAAATGGATCTATTTTATAGAAAATTAAACTTTACTTATTAACATTCAAAACAAATAGTTATAAGGTATTATAACTACGTAAAGACATAATGATTTCTTATATAATATATAAATGAAACAAATTTAACAGATTTTATTGCATATAATTTTAACTACATTACTATTTTAACTATACCTTTTGGGATCCTATAATTAATAAAATTTAATTCAAACCCAAGCAATCCGCTGCAAGACTTCAAGATACTGTAAGCTCGTTCTACATAGATCACACTATAAATTTATATTCAAAAGAAGAAGGTAGCCAATTTAATTATGACATCAACACATCAAACGCCTTGGACCCTATGACCATGGATGCTGTAAAGCACCTTTACTTAAGACCAATTAAAAAGTTAAAATTAAATGCGACAAAATCATTAAAATTAGTCTCATTTAATAAGTAAGGGCACATAAAACAAAAATAATTAAAAGTTAAATATAAAAATAATAAAATATACACCTTGCGAGTTATTATAGAATGAACAGTGGCACGGCCGTCACGAACCATGAAGAGAAACTTAGCATTAGGAAACAACTCCAGCACATATGTGCCCATCTTCAACACAAGTGGGTCCTTATTGCAGAGCCGCGGAGCGGGATCGCCGTGCCGAACTATCACTTCGAGGCAGAACGCGGCGATCGCGTTATCAAGCACCGCCTTGGAGACGCCAGCCTGCTCGAGGCGCACACTCTCTTTCTGCGAGCGCATCCAGTGCTGGCGCATCTGCAGGATGCGAGGCACCACGCGAGTCTCCTGGCCGCAGCGCACGTCGGGGTGCGCGTCCAGCATGGCGCGCATCAGCGTGGTGCCGGAGCGCGGCACGCCGCCGATGAAGATGAGCGGCAGCTCGCGCCCCGCCACCGTGTCGTCCGCCCGCCGCGCCGGCTGCGGCGTCCGCAGCGCCCAGGCCCACAGCAGCAGCGCTCCCAGCACCAGCGGGCCCGCCACGCGCCATCGCACGCCCCGCCACATCCCTCTCACTGACTGCACCCTAGCCACCACCATATTTTCATTCAATTTCGTCCTCAATACACACCACCACAAGTCACCGAACATACAGTTACCGTTACAGTCTATTCAAGTTAACTTTATCATGGGATTTCCCCATAGATTACCTAATAGGGAGGATATTTGCCGCAACATTTTTAAGAAAATAAAAAAAATGTTTTTTTTAGTCCTTATTAGGAAGACTCTGCCCATCTTCTGATTTGCTTCCCTCTGTCGCCTGTTATGACACCCATAGGGTGATATAGGGTAGTGGATATTCTTACACCGCCACTACACAGTAACACTGAACATACTTCCCCATAAATTGCCACAAATTACTTCAAAGCTACCTTAATCTAGCACCTGCACGCTTGCCTCACAGATTGTCACTTCCTCTAACAAACAGCACAATGTTAATCAAATCAATTAAGACCTGCACTTACTGGTGCTTTAGTTACTTCATTTTTATCATTAGTGCAATAACAATATCCAAGCTACCCATGTAAAAGTATTTACTACTATGGTCTGCCCTTATAAAAGTCAGTCACATTATATTTTAAGAGTAATGATGTATCAAAACATGTATTAAATCTTCTGATCACATACTGAGGTTCCCTGGGTTTCGAATCTTATAAAATGTGACATCAGCGACCTAATTTTTTTTCATTTTAAGTGTTGCTATTGTCTCCCATGTCAGTGTTATTGCATTGTAGCCTACCAATAAGCATGACACTGGGGACAGTATGTCTAATATAATATTCTTATGAATAAAAACATTAAATCAAACCAATCTTTCTGCTGCGTTGTAATTATGATTATTATTACTAAAACAATGTAATACAAATTTAAAATTCATTTAAAAACTTACGAAAAATATATCAGTAGCTGTTATGTTATAAAAACAGATCCTGCAACAATTTTACCAATAATGTGCATTTATTTGATAATAGACCTAATGACAATGGAATGGATATAATGGCACCATTTGATACTTAATAAAGTTAATGAAAAACTAATGCAATCCTCGAATTTAAACTTGAATTAGTATGAATTAAAAAGGATTTTTATAAAAACCACAAAATTTATAATCACATTAATAGTTCAAAGTTTTATGACGATATTTTGTTTCTGTAAGTCTGATCGTAAAATATTATAGTGCAGAATGTGCAGTATGTTGTTTTCTAGATATTAATTTTCTAAACTAATTTTTGTATTTTACTGTATGAAAGTTATAAATTTATAGACTTAGAACACACATGTGACATTGTAATGTTAGCTTTTACCACCTATAAACAATAAATTATTTAACATTAAGTATAGCCACATTATCTATAAACATCTTCACTGCCAATCACACCTGTAAGATAATGAATGTGTACACAAAGCAGAATACTAAGAAATGCTTACAAGTGTGTAATTAATAAAGTGTTTTAGTTATCGTATCATACATATTCAGTTATAATAGCTATTATTTTTTTTTTTACAATTAAGTTTTATATTCTTGTTTATTTAGTACACTACGCCAGATAATTTTCTCACGCGTTGTACGTTAGAGTATTTATTCATTTATTTGATTATTGTGTTATTTACTATGGAATAATATTTTTTTCCAATCAATCGCCTTCCTTTGAAACAGTTACATTTAATCGAAACTGCAACGACTCATTTCGAATAACACAATTCAAATTTCGATCACTATTGTTGCATTACTTACCTACATTAAAACACGATTTGAAAAGCGTTCTTTTCTTATTGCCAACACATCTCGTTAGTTTACACAAGAATTAGTGTATTGTATTAGAAATGTATACAAACTCACAATAGAAAATAATAAAAACGATTATGGTGTAAATGAAACTTCGATCCTATAGTATTTTGTAAAATTGAGTAGGTATTCTCTTTTGAACAGTAATATAAAGCGTAGTAAAAATAATTTTATTTAAAATTTTGATTGCAGTTTGCAGTTATGTACCGATAGCGATAACTGTCAGTGTCAGCTGTCAATTTGTCAAACTGTCAACTCAAAACTCAGTCAAACTTCAGTATTTCCTAATCAAAAAAATACTTACCCCAAAAGCAAAGGTCAAATACCCTTAATTCGCCACAATTACTTTGAAATCCCTCAAAAAATAAGAAAAATATTCGTTATTTATAAATTACTCATAATTATGAATATTTTGCTTTCTTCCGATAGTTCAGTCTTTAAAAAGTCATACATTTTTTTATAAGTGAGTAGGCAAACGAGCATACGGCTCACCTAATTAAAATGGCAGCTTGATACTGCTGTGTTTCGTATGATGAGAGTAGAGAACCCGGAGACCCATTTTACTGGAAAAGAGGCATTCCACCTTAGTACTCATAGGTGACGACGTATCTGCATTTTGATTCTTTATTGAGGATAAATGTAGATGTCTATGGGTCACAGCAACCACTTACCATCAGGTGGACTGTGTGTTCGTTTGTCACCCTGTCCTATAAAAAAAGTGACTACTGCCCTCAAGAACAACTACAATACCAGCGGAATTGCAGGTGCGTTGCCAGCCTTATAGAAGGGAGTAAGCTCATTTCTTGAATTTGAAAATTAAATAATATTAACATTTCGTCAAGTAGTTAAAGATAGCTGTGTTAACATATTTCATGCAGGATTAAATATTATGCAAGATGCACCATTTCGTTGCAATGTGATTCGGAATATCATTGTACTTTAAAACTTTAAAACGTTTACAGCCAGCTATGTCGCAATCATCGTAAGTAATATAGTGCCACCAACTTATCTGTTCAGTTGACAGCGTCGCTAGTGGAGTGCTTACTATTGCCATTTAAGAAATTCACCGAGGAAATAGGTAACAACATATTCATTACACATAATATAAAATAAAACAAATTTCGTGTTAATATATTCAATTAGTGAGAATTAGTGTTATTATATATATTATTTTTATTTTATAAAAATAATTGTGGTCGTGATCACGGGGTTCAAGCGGCCGAATTCCAAGAATTTCTGTTGAAAAATGGACCCGCGTTAGCTACGGTTCCAATTTTTTTACACGATTACAAATGTTATTTGTAAATTTATGAAATAAATCTTCAATTAATTGTGGCATTAGAACATTAGCAACACAAACTACAAAGCTAGGTACTTTAGATGAATTGCAGTAAATTGAGATAATTTTTTTTCTATGTTTCAGAAGTACATTATTTGGTGATTTTAATTTTCCATATCTGGCAATACTAACCTGTCGCGGCAGCTACGCGTTCTTACAGCTTTTCAAATGGTATAGTTGGGATTCGTACACGTTTCTCTTCTTTCATAAATGATAAAAATTTTAGGATAATCTATCGCGCATCACTTTTAAGACCTTTAGGCATTTTATTGACACTTTTGGTTTGGTGACATTTTGGTGACACTGAGAATAAATAATAGCTGACAGCGAAATGTCATTTACAAAATGGCGGCTTTAGTTCCAATTTTGTCCACCTGAACAGATAAGTTGGTGGCACTATACAAAAATCAAAAAGTTATAACGTTTTCCCACTTAGGCAGGCAAAGACCTTAGACCATACAGCTCCGATGCGAAGCTTAAAGGAATTTTCAATGATAGCTTAACCTAGCGAACAGTTGATGACTATGATACCTCAAGACACCCATGCCAAATAAAAAAAACTTTGAAATATACACATCAACACCGTCTAGGGATATTTTGTATAAAGTTCTTAAATATATAAAAATACTGGCCAGTTTTAAAATCTTTTGAAGAAAGCTTATTTTGAAGGCCTTTTTAGATGATTCCAATTTTGAATTTGAAAAAATATATTAAAAACAAAAGATTCGAAGGTTTCAATTTACCTACTTAATTTTTGGTGTCAAATTAAATTTTTAAAATAAGTTTGCAATTATGCTCTATTCCAATTACGAAGTCCCATTTGACAGATGTCAATAATCAAGTATTAGTAAAGTACCGCTATAGTCGATACTTGACTATATTGATCTTCGATTACTATAACGAACAAATTAAAATCGTATTGACAGAAAAAGGATTAGCATCAAATTCAAATTTATAAAACTGTTTTTTAATTTTAATTAGATAATATTACCAAGATGTTTTATCAAGATGGAACATATTCATCATCACTAGCCGAAATCGATATTTCATGGTCGGCATCGTCGTCATCACCCTCATCATCGTCTGTAGAATCCCCTGTATTTATTATAATTTGGTTATCTATGACGGCATCGATATGTATGTCTCTGTCCCAATCAGCGAAAATCAAATTTTTTGTTCGTAAAACCACACTTTCCCAATTCGCGGCAGTAACACTATCACAAGCTTCTTGCAACAATGACAGCATTTTGTTTGCAGTAAACGGTGGGCTGGTATTTTTACAAGCCGCATAACCTAAAATAAAGGTTTGCGTGTTAATATAGCAACAGATAAAATGTTAAAGTAGGTAAAAATAAATTATAAAAAAGATTTGTTTAAATTCTTGCCTTTAATTTGCGCCCAAATCAATTCTATGGCATTGTATTGACAATGGTAGGGTGGAAGGCGCATTACATTGTGTCCGGATTCCTTAGCCATTATGTCCAATACGTATTTTGGTCTAGCTGGCTTATTTATAGCAACCAAATGCAGCAGATCAATTTTTAACATTCAGCTATTTCACAATATCGGCTTTTTTGCTGCTAGAAGTTGGAGGCTTACTTATTTGTACTGAATGATACGGTGCATTATCCATAATGATCGTCGATGGCTCATTCAAGTTGGTCAATAAGGTACAAAACCATTCATTAAATTTAACAAAATTCATCTCTTCGTGGTATTCCACAGTTTTCTTAGATTTAAACGCCAAGAGGCAGTTCGGAACAAATCCCTTCATGGAACCCGCATGACAAATACCTAGTCAGGTCATAAATTCTGTCACATGTTTAATATAAAATAATTGAAACAAGTTTATTCATTATGTAACCATTTATATACCAAAAT